CTGATGATGAGGATGCTGATGGTGGTGATGACGAGAAAGAGGAGGAGGAGGAATACCTTAGCATGTGCCCCCTGTCGCATCCACTTCTTGAGGTGCACTCGTGGCGTGTTTCAGCAGTCTTGGGGCAAGGAGAGCAGGATGAATAGGAATATGGTGATGAGGAGAAGGCGGGGTGAACATACTTCAGTGGGCACGACGGCGAAGATGATGAGGAGGATGATGTGGATACGGATGACGAAGACGAGGAAGAGGACGAGGACGAGGATGATGACGACCGGGAAAAGGAGGAAAAGGAATACCATCACATGTGCCCTCCTTGTCGCATTCACTGTTTGAGGTGCTAACGTGGCGTATTTGAGCAGTCTTGGAGCAAGAGAAACAAGCAGGAGGAAGAGGAAGATGGTGATGAGGAGAGGACGAGGGAAACATACAGTGGAAACTCATCAGAGTTGGGTTTCTTGCACTTCGGCAGCAAACGAAGATACCCAGGGTACCCTGACCCGATCGGTTTCTTGATCGCTTGCGTAGAACAGTTTTAACCAAAGAAACAAAAGGCGATCGAGCATGCCAGTTTTGGGCATTGCACAAACAGAAAGATGACATGGCCCAGTCCCAAAAAATAACACAGATTTGATTTTGGCAGGGGTGGGCGAAGAAACCCAAGGCACCCACTATGCGCTTCAGTTGTATGGTAAATCGGACACGCGCCCGAATGCGCCAGCGCTCCTATGTCAGACTGACGAGTCCCCGCAGATGGATGCGTCGCGCTGGAAGAACAGCCAGAGTGGCGGGCGAAGAAGCCCAAGATACCCTGAATGCCTGCCAGTTTCCTGGGCTCTCGGGCGCGTGCCCCGAATGCGCCAGCGCCCCCATCGCAGACTGACGATCCCCCGTAGGAGGACGCGTCGCACAGGAAGAACAGCCAGAGTGGCGGCCAAGCAAACCAATGTACCTTGAAAGCCTTCAGTTTCTTGGGGCGCCGAGCGTGCAACGACGAGTGGAGTCAGTCGCAGAAGTGCAGTAGCCCACGGGTAAGCCAAGGGTTGGGCCATGGGTAAGCCATGGGTGGGCCGTGGGCAGGCCATCGGCATGCCATGGGCAGGCCATGGCTAGGCCATGGGTAGGCCATGGGCGAGCCATGGGTACGTAGGCCATGGACGGGCCATGGAAAAGCCATGGGTGGGCCCTGGGTTGGCAATAGGTAGACCATGGGTAGCCCGTGGTCAAGCTATGGGCAGGCCATGGGCAAGCCATGGGCGGCCCCTGTGCATGCCGCGGGTAGGCCATGGGGAGGCCGTGGGTAGCCATGGTGAGGAGGCCGTGGGTAGCCATGGGTAGGCCACGGGCAGGCCATTGGCAGGTCGTGGGAAAGCCATGGGTACAGCTACCGGCAGATGCGCTGCCCGACGCGAGGCGCCTTTTGAGGAAAAACGGCAGAGGGCGAACAGGAGCCGCATCCTTCTGCGCGCGCGGGGCAAGCTGCGGCCCTGCCGCGCGCTCGCGTCTTGGAAAGGGTGAAATGGTGCGAATCCTATGGCCCTCTCGCGTTGAGCGTTCTGTATTGCCCATCAACCAGAACCTTAGCTGCTCTGATACGCAAGTTTTGAAACGCAACACGTGCCGTGTTCGAAACGTCCGTGTTCAAAATTTACGTGTTCAGTCTACGTGTTGAGCTCCGTATCAATGCGCTACGTGCTGCGTGTTGCGTATCCGGGCAGCTAAGACCAGAACCCATGTGAACTTGGAAATCCAACCGGCCACCGGTCAGGGTTCAGAGTGGTTTCCAGGACAGCATCGCGACTTTATGATTCTGGACGTCGCCCACGCGCGTGTGGAGCGTCGTGTATGGTCCATAACCGGATTCACACATCAGAACCCATGTGAGTTTGGAAATTCCATCGGTCACCGCTAAGGGCTCTTTTTAGTTTCCAGGACAACATCGCGATGTTTTATCATTGTGGGCACTTCACACCGCTCTCCACACGCGCACGCGCGCCTGGAGCGTTTTGTATTGCATATAGTAGACAGAATGCAGAAACAATGTGAGCTTGGAAATCCAATATGTCGCCGCTAAGAAGCCACCTTCGATTCTAAGGCAAAATTGTGGTTTCATTGTTGCAGACAGTTCGCAACACTCCACACGCGCCCGCGCGCGTGAATCGTTCTGTATTGTCCATCATAGGCAACATACACCAGAACCCATGTAAACTTGGAATTCATATCGGTTGCACCGAAGGTTCACCTTAGTTCCCAAAGTAACAGGGCGAATTGCTATTACCATTGAAGACAATGCGCGACGCTCCAATGTACTGTCCATGGCAAGACATGTACACCAGAGCCCATGTGAACTTGGAATCTTGGAATCCACCCGGTCACCGCTAAGGGTTCGCTTTGGTTTCCAGGGCAACATGCTGACTTCACGATCGTGAGCAGTTCACAACGCTCCACACGCGCATGCGCGCCTGGAGCGTTCTGTATCGTACATCGCATGGTTCATACACCAGAATCTATGTGGATTCGGAAATCCAATAGGCCACCGCCAAGGATTCACTTTAGTTTCCACAGCACCACGGCGACTTCACTATCATAGACAACGCACAACGCTCCACACGCGCACACGCGCTTAGATCGGTCTGTCTCGTCCATATGTAATAGGAAACATGTTGTAGAACCCATGTGAGCTTGGAAATGCAACCATTCGCCGCCAAGGGTTCGCTTTAGTTCCCAGTCGGGAGCCGCCCGCGTCACTTGTAATCAGGGCGCCAACAAAGCGTCATGTAGCGCCATGGGCTCCATAGTCGCGTCTGGAAGGGCGATTCGTATGCCGACGCCGATGCCGAGCCCCTTCCCCGCAGGAGAGGGCCACCGTGCCACGCCGCCGCACCGCCCGCAGGGGGGAGGCAAAAATGCCCCAAGGCACCCGGAATGCCTGTGAGTTTCTCTGGGGCGCGCACCCCGAATGCGCTTGGGCCTCCCGTGCCAGGCTGATGAGCCCCCGCGAGCTCGCGCGTGCTGCGCTGGAGGAGCAGACGGAGTGGTGGGCGAAGGAACCCAAGGCACCCTGCATGCCTGTTAATTTCTTGAGCTCTCGGACGCGCGCGACGGAGTGGCGGGCGAAGAAACCCAAGGCATGATGACTGATTGTCAACTTCTTGGGTTTCCGGGCATGCGCCCCGAAATGCGCCGGCGCCCACTTGGCAGACTGGCGAGCGCTCGCGAATGGATGGGCAACGAGGGGCGAACAACCCGAGTGGCGGGCGAAGAAACCCAGGGTGTCTTGCAAAACGTAGTCTCTTCAAGACTGCTACAGCCTTCCACGCCGAACTCAAGCCAAAGAAACCCAAGACACCCTGGCGAAACACATGATATGCCTTGTCATGTGGTCCGATTGTATTTGTAGTAGGCACGTCGACGAAGACGATGATGAGGTGGAGGATGTGGACACTAGTGGATGGTGATGATGATGATGCTGACGATGATGATAATGATGGCGATGATGATGCTGATGATGATGATGCTGATGATGATGGTGTTGGTGGTGATTATGATGATGGTGATGATGATGGTGATTGTGACGAGGCTGCTGATTATTAGCGTCATCAGCATGATGATGATAATGGTGATTACGATGATGTGATGATGGAGAAGTAGGTGGTGTTGATGCAATGAGGCAAGGTAGAGGAAGAGCAAGGCAGCCACTCGTGACCTTTTGCGCCCATTTCTTGGGCATCTCCCATGGCTTACTTCAACCATCGTGTGGTTGGAGGAGGAGGGGGAGAGGAATCTGATGATGCTGAGAGGAGGAGGAAGAGAAGGAGGAGGAGGAGGAGGAGGAGGAGGAGGAGGGATACACGTTTTTGTGGTGATCACGACGACGAACTTAGATGTTGAGGAGGAAGATGAGAAGAAAGGTTGACGAGGATGCAGATGATGAAAGTGGTGGTGGTTATGATAAGCAGGAGAAGGCAGAGGAACGGGAATGTCGCCACATGTGGCGTCTTCGGATTTCATTTGTTGAGGATAATATCGCTGCTTTTGTCAGACAGTAAAGGGCTGGAGGAGTAGGAAGAGCAACATGATGATGTGGATTATCGGAGGAGTAAGAAACTAAGTGAAGTGGTCACGGTGGCGATCTTGTGATGATGACCGATGGTGATGGGGATGGTCAGGATGATGAGGAAAAAAGGTAAGGCCGTCAGACGTGACACCTGCTATCTTCATGTCTTCAGGAGCTCAAGCGGAGTTCGTGCGGGCCGTCTTGGGACTGTCTTGGCCTCCTATGGGGCAGTGCTGAGGGTCCTTCTGGGCCGTCTTGGTGCACTCTTGGGCCGTTTTGGGGCCCTCTCAGGCCTTCTTGGGGCTCTTTTGGGTCGTCTTGGGGCCCTCTTGACCGTATGAAGGGTGTCTAGGGGCTGTCTTGTCGCTGTCTTGGGCCGTCGAAGGGCCTTCTGAGGTCGTCTTGGGTCTCTCCGGAGGCCTTCTTGGCCGTTTTTGGGCTATCGTGGGGTCCTCTTGGGCCGTCTTGGAGCCCTGTTGGGCCTCGGGAGCCTCTTGGGCAGCCGTGGGGCCATCGGGGGTCTTCTTGTCACCATCTTGGGCCCACTCGGAGACATCTTGGGCCGTCCTGAGGCCATCTGGAGCCGCCTTGGGGCCATCTTGGGCTGTCTTGGAGGCGTCTTGGGTCGTGTCGCCAGCATTGGTTGCCTGCCTGGGCCGTCTTGGATGCTCGGGAGCGCGGGCCCATTGTTTTTTAGAAGCGATCGTGGCCTCGGGGGCGCGGACTCGTCCTTCTTGTACGAGGGACCGTGGCCTCCTCCTCCTCCTCCTCCTCCTCCTCCTCCTCCTCCTTCTAATCCTCCTCCTCCTCCTCCTCCCCCTCCTCCTCCAGGGGAGGGCAGGCGGTGCATGCCCCTGCCTTGGGGGGTGTCTCGTAGCCAGGGAGCCCTTGGCCTTCTGCCACGCCTCAACGTGCCAGGAGGCACGGTGGCGGATACCGCAAGAAGGAGGCGGACGCCGTGAACACCCTCTCGGGAAACCTCCAGGAGCTCCACGAGAAGCGCATGGCAGATGCAGAGGAAGCTGCGCTGCAGGAGGAGGCCCACCGGCAGCTGCACATGGAGCACGCGGCCGCGGTCGAGGAGGCGCGGGAGTGCGAGCGAGCAATTGCACAGCTTCGCAGTGCGCGCGACGTGGACGCGCAGGAGGCCGCGGAGGCAAAGCGTGAGCTGGAGCAGGCCGTGGCGCAGGTGGAGCGGGCCCGCGACCATGCCGTGGAGGAGGGCGCCCGAAGACTCGGAGAACTGGAGGAGAGCCATCGCAGGTCCCTGGAGGCCGCCGCCGCTGCCCTCGCGCGGGCCGTGGAGGATTCGCGGACGACGAAGAGCGTTGCAACATGTTCTTTCTCCGCCGTCTGGGACGCCTGCCCCATGACGGCTGGAGAGCTCACACCCCGACACGCAACCGTAGGGATATATAAACTCTCCAGCCGCCCTGGGGCAGTCGCCCCCGAGGATGGAGCAGTCTGTTTCTATACCGCTTTCGCCCCTCAAGAGGAGCACGGCGCCGACGCGGCGCAGCGCCGCGCGGCGTGCCAGGAGCTCGAGAGGAGGCACGCCGAGGCCGCCGAGGAGGCGGGCCGCCGCGGCGAGGCTTGCTCCGAGCTGGGACGAGCGCTCGAGGCGGCCAGGCGGGAGGGCGCCGCGGCCCTCCTGGAGGCCCAGGGGGCCCACCGCAGAAGCGAGGATCGGCGCCACCCAAGCACACTTCTAGTAGATGACCGCGGCTTGTGTTCACGCGGCGGCGCCCAGGATGACGATTAGAACAGACCGGCCGCGGGCTGGAACACTCTTTTTTAATCCTTCTCCTCCGGCCAGAAAGTTGTGCAGAAATAGCGGGAAGCTGTTTTTGTTGATCGTTCTCTCCCATTTTTGCTCTTAATCGTCATCCCTGCATGTCGCCAGTGTCGCCGCGCCGCTTGCCCTTGGCGCGCGGCCCTCCGCCTCGGGGAGGGCGCCGCGGGCACCCGGGGCCAGCGCGCGCCTCGGGCGCGGATGGGCTCGCCGTGGGGCTTGCCGCGGCGCCCGCTCCGTCTGCCTGGGGCGCGGGACGCGGGGCCCGCTCTGGGTTTAGGTCGGGCCCGTCCCCCTACAGGGGGATGTTCGAAGAAAAAAAAGAATACCCCCAAACATAATCCAAGAATAGTCCAAACATAGTCTGGGGAGTATCTTTTTAAGTATTTTGTTGACCTCTTCGGGGCATTTCTGGAGTATTTTCTATGTTTCGTCGAAAATCCCCTGTAGGGGGACACGCCCGACATAAGCTCTGGGCTTGTCGTGGTGTCGGCGTCCGTCGCCGTAGGCGCGTCGAGGACAGGCGGCGCGGCGACGGAGTCGTCGGCCACGCCCGGGCGGCGCGCACGCTCGGGCGTCTTGCGGTAATGATGTTCGCCGGCGCGGGCCCCGGCCGGCGTGCTCCCAGCAGCGCGTAGCACCCCTCGGTCGCGGGCAGGAGCGAGGGGGCGGCGGGGTGGCCTGCAGTCTGCGAAGCTCCGAGGAAGCCCTCCGCAGGCGCTTCAAAAGGAACGTGGCACAGCGAGCCCGCCGCAGGCGCCGAGACTTCGTCGAAGCAATGTGGGTGGGTCGCGGGCGGGTCGGGGATGGGTCCGGGATGGGTCGCGGGTGGGTCGCGGGTGGGTCGCGGGTGGGTCGCGGGGTGGGTCGCGGACGAGGACGACAACAACAACAACAATCGTTTTACTGTACTTCGTTCTTATCTGCTCGCGTGTCAGCCAACATGTATTCTGCTCGCGTGTCAGCCAACATGTATACTCTTCGTATAACATGTATACGCTACCCGCCCTCTTCGCCTTCGGTCATACCGTCTTGGGGGGGATGTTTACACTACCTGCCACGTGTAGCTGGTGCAGCCCCTAAAGACACCAGCTGAACTCGGACCCAGCTGAAATCGGACCCGGGCTGAACTCGGACCCAGCTGAACTCGGACCCAGGCTGAACTCGGACCCGGCTCCCGGACCCGGAGAACTCGAACCCAGCTGAACGCGGACCCAGCTGGACGCGGACCTAACTGATCTCGGACCCAGGCTGAACTCGGGCCCGGCTCCCGGACCCGGAGAACTCGAACCCAGCTGAACGCGGATCCAGCTGAACGCGGACCCAGCTGAGCTCAGACCCAGGCTGAACTCAGACCGAGGCCCACGCTGCAGCGGGAGCGCCCGGGTCCGAGCTCGGCTATGGGTCCGAGTGCAGCCGGGTCCGATGTCCTCCGGAGATCCGAGATCAGACGGGTCCGACTGCAGCCGGGTCCCAGTTCAGTTGGGTCCGAGACCAGAGGAGGAGGAGGAGGAGGAGGAGGAGGAGGAGGAGGAGGAGGAGGAGGAGGAGGAGGAGGAGGAGGAGGAGGAGAGGAGGAGGAGGAGGGGGGGGAGGGGGAGGGGAGGGGGGGGAGGGGGGGGGATGGAGGAGAAGGAGGAGGAGGAGGAGGAGGAGGAGGAGGAGGAGGAGGAGGAGCAGGAGGAGTTCGGCCGGGTCCGAGGTTCGGCCGGAGGTCCGAGTGCAGCCGGAGGCTGCATGCGGGCCCGCCCGCGCCCGAGGTCGCGCGGCCACGGGCCCTCGCGGCCTCCTTGGTCGCTGGCGGCCGCCGAGCGGGCAAGAAAAGCATGGCAAGTCGGGGCAGCGGAAGCGACACGAGCCCGAGTGATTCAGGAGGGGAAAAAACACACACAGACACAATTAATCGGCGATTCCCAGGAAAATATGGGAAAATGTGGGAAGTGGGGGGAAGACAAAAACCCAGAAAATATAGGAAAATAGGGGGAATAATTTTACTTGTGTGTATTTATTTGTGTGTCCCAGTTCCCCTTCAGTGATGGGAGAACCCCTGACCGTAACTCTCACCCCGGACCATGAAACGTAAGCCCTAGTCATATATAACACCTAGCCTTACTCCTCAGCTCTGACCACTGCGACCCCTACACCGAATCCTACACCCGAACCCGGACCCTTCCCCTAGCCCCTAGCCCTGAACCCTAATCCCTAACCCTGAAACGAACCCTAACAATAAACCCGAACACTAACTCCTAACCTTCACCCTTAAACCCTAACCCTAACCCCTACCCGTACGACCACCCTGCGGGTGATAAGGAGGTTGGGGGGGGAGGGGGGCCAGCAATGGGCAACAGTGGTGATTGTTGCGTTGCCGCTCGAGCTTGGAAGCCTTAAGCCGAAATCCCTGGATGGTAAGAGAGTTGAGGGGGAGGAGGACCCAACGTCTCACTCAATCGATCTCACAATGGACAATGGACCCTACTATCGCTTTCACAATCGATCTCACTCGATCCATCACACAATCGTTCTCACTCGATCGATCTCACTATCGATCTCACTATCGATCCCACTCGATCGATCTCACTATCGATCTCTCCATCGATCTCACAAGCGATGTCGTTATCGTCTCACGATCGATCTCACTGTCGATCTCTCTATCCATCCCACTATCGATCCCACTATCGATCTCGCTATCGATCTCACTATCGATTTCGCTTTCGATCTCACTATTCATCTCACTATCGATTCCACTATCGATCTCGCTATCGACCCCACTCGATCGATCTCACTAACGATCTCACTCTCGATCACACGATCGATCTCACTATAGATCTCACTATCGATCTCTCACTATAGATCTCACTATCGAACTCACTATCGGCCTCAATATCGATCTCACTATCGATCTCACTATCGATCTCACTGTCGATCTCACCAGGGGACACCACGGGACAACGACGGGACACTGGCGGGACACCAGCGGGACACCAGCGGGACACCGGCGGGACACCGCGCGTCACCGGTTGCCGGGCGCAGAACCTTTTGGTCCGGCCGCGGTCCAGCCACGACGGGACAGCGGCGGGACACCAGCGGGACACCAGCGGGACACCGGCGGGACACCGCGCGCCACCAGATGCCGGGCGGAGAACCTTTTGGTCCAGCCGCGGCCCAGCCACAGGAGAATTTCTTTTCCCCCGCCCGCGCAGCTTCGCCTCGCGCGCACGCACGGCACGAACACGAAACCGAAATCGATTTCCCGGTAGGGGGGGCTCTCCGTTCCACTTCGATCTCACCCCCCAACCTCCGACCCTAGCCCCCAACCCCAACCCTAATCCCTGAACCCTAACCCTAACCCCTAACCTAACCCTGACCCCTAACCCCTGAGCCCTACCCTAACCCTTATTCCATCCCTAACCCCCAACCCAAACCCTAAACTCTACTCGAACTCCTACCCGAGCCCCTAACCTTAATCCTAAAGCCTAAACCGTAACCCTGACCCCTAACCCCAACCCTAATTTAACCCTAGCCTCCAGCCCAACCCCTAACCCCTAAGCCGAACACACCCCAGCCCCTAACCTAGTGAACCCCTTGTCCCTGACCCTGAACCTAACCCCTAACCCAAACCCTAACCCCTAACCCTCGCCAGAAAGCCTGACCCGAACCCCTAACCCTAAATCCCAAACCCTACCGCCGTTTGCGAAATAAACGCCCATCTTAGGGATCGAAAACAAGACGACGAAGCACGCCCCCTTTCCCCCGTATTTCAAGGTTGACGGGGAGGGCTGGGCAGTCCAACATAAGTGGGCGTTTATTTCGCAACGCTTCGCACTCCCCTTCGGCGTGTTTGGTGGCCAACATTGAAATGCGGGGCGCGGGGCGGGGCTCTCGGTACTTCCACACGTGGCCGTTTATTTCGCAAACGGCGGTAGCCCTTACTATAACCCTACACCCCAACCCGAAACCCTAACTCCTAACCCTAAACCCTAATCCTAGCCCTAATTCCTGGCCGCTCGTCACTCATTCGTCCTCGCTCGCCTCGCGCGTAGGCTGTTGGACGCGGGGGCTGCCAAGGGCGCGATTATGAATTCGTAACCCTAGCCCCTAACCCCTGACCCGAACCCTTAACCTCTTAACAGACTCCCAACCCTAATCCCTAACCCCTAACCCTAACTCTAGCCCCATATACCCTGACCCCTACATATTAACCCTAACCCTGGAACGAACCCTAACCCCTAACCTTTACCCCTAAACCGCGGCCGCGTCCATCGCGCCAGACTAGCTAGCTGGCCGCTCTGCGCGCGTTGGCGCGGCCGCAGCGATGCGCCAGCCAGCCCCGAGCAGTCATCACAATCGCCGCCGCATTGGTTTTCCACACCAGGTTGCAGGTGGGTGGGTGGATGTTTGCGCGAGCAGTAGAGTTGACAATTCATTGCGAACAACGATTAATTGCACCGCACGTATTGCTCCACGCTGATCGCACAACGCATCTGGCTAAAAACACACACACACTTTTGGGGGCCCGCGCTGGCTAACATGTTGTATTGCGTGTTCGGGCTGGACGTGCGTTTCCAACGGAAACGCATTGTACTAGTAAGTCGCTGCGCGTCCCAGAGGAGGCCGCCGAGGCTGCGCTGGCGCAAGCCGCTGCGCAGCACGGCTCCGAGGTGGAGCGGCGAGAAGCGGCGTACCAGGACCTCCAAAAGGTTTCCTTCCCTCCCTACACAATCCTTTCTTCCTCTCCTTTCGCATGCGGCACGCTCGTTCATCTGTCAAGCTGCGGGTCGGTGCGTGTGGTCGCTTATCGCGGGTCGGCTCGTGTGGCGTTCCCGATTCGCCCGGCACCGTTTTGATTCGCACAGCGGTCGAGGCCGAGTCGGGTGAAGCTTTGTGGTCGCGCTCCCTCCCCCTCAGAAGTCAAACAATGTACCAGGAGCTTCAGAGGAGGCACGCGGCCGCGACCGAGGAGGCGGAGAAGCACGAAAAGGCTTACAGGGACCTGCAGGACAGGCACGCTGGCCTGACTGCCGAAGCCGGCAAGCTCGAGGAAGGTCTGGCAGAGCTGCAGCGGGCGCGCGACGAGGCCGTGCGCGCGGGCCACGTGGGCCTCGAGGAGATGCGCGAGGCGCAGCGCAGGTGCCAGGAGGACAGCGAGGCGGACTTCTCGAAGGTCCTCCAGGAGCTCCAGGAGAAGCACTCGGCCCTGCAGGAGGCCGTGAAGGTGCGTGAGCAGGAGTGCCAGGCTCTCCAGGGGGCGCAGGTGAGCGCACTTCAAGAGGCCGCGCAGCACGAAGGGTCCCTGGCGGAGCTGCAGGCGTCCCACGACCTGGAGGCGCGGGAGGCGCGGGCGCGCCAGGAGGAGCTGGCGCGAGCCTTGGCAGAGCTGCAGCGGTCTCACGACGAGGCCGTGCAGGGCCACGCGGGCACCCTCGAGGAGCTGCAGGGCGAGTGCCGGAGGTGCGACGGGCAAGTTTTGGTTCCAGCCCGGACCCCGCGGTGTCCCTGGAGGCCTCAGGAGGCCTCCAGAGGCCCCCGAGGCTTGGCATCGCTCGGACGTGTGCATTTTCTTTCTCGGCGAGAGCCATCGAGGACCAGCCTGGACCATCGAGCAAAAAAAAAACACGCACAGAACCGACAAATGCACGGGAAATGGACGTCCGAGCGACGGCAAGCGAGAAGGTCAGACAGCAGCATGCAAAGACACCCCCTGGCCGCCCAGAGGCCTCCCCTCCCCCCTCGGCCCCCTGCGGGCCGAGGGGGAGAGCCCGGCAGGCGCGAGGAAGAGGCCGCGGCGGCCGCGGCGGCCCACGCAGCCGAGCTGGCGCGGCAGGAGGATGAGCGGGCGAAGAAGAGTACAGTCGGGGCGCTGAAGAAGGAACCCTCTTCGTCTGGGAGGGGCTCAGTGTTCCTTAGTTGTTCTACGGTTCGCCTCTGGGTGTCCGCAGGTTTTCGATGGGAAGTCGAAGTTCAATTCATGAAAAAAGGGTCCTCGTTCCTTATTTAGGGTTCCTTAGGTCAACGCCCCAACTGTAGCGGGCGAAGAACAGTATGAAACAAATTGTCCCGCCGTCGGGGGCGCCAGGCCCGGGCCCGCCTGACAGTTCGTACCCCGCCTGCCACCGTCGGGGTAGAGATTTACCAGCCGCCCTGGGACAGGCGCCCCCGGTGGCGGAGAAGTTCGTTCCCCCAGAAGTGCTTGCACTTAGGGTTTGGTATTGCTCTTCTACGGAATTGGGCCTGGGTGCCGGTCTGGCGGCTATGTTGCCGCCATCGCCGCCAAATCGCCGCCTTGTCGCCACCCGTCGTCAGGACCTGCATTGGTTTGCATCGCTTTGCATTGCCTTGCATCGCTTTGCATTGCTTTGCGTTGCTTTGCGTTGCTTTGAACTGCTTGCATTGCATCGTATTGCAATTGCATTGCTTTGTAATCATTCCACCTCGGTTGCACCACAAAGATTGCATCACATAGGTTGCACCACACAGGTCGCACCACGTATATTCTCCTTGCGAAAAGCGTATTAGGATCTACCCCCCCTGGATTCAACCGCCCCCCTTGTCGTAGTGCAATTTACTGATTCTGCCCCACCGCCCATCCTTGGATGTGAACTCATACCGTACGAGGCAGGCCGGTCACACTGTCCCGCTTATCCCCTGCCAAAGATAGAAATGCGCGCGCGCTCGTTTATCAGAACTCCGAAGTTGTTAATGACCCCTTGCAGCAACTTGGGCGAAGGGCACACGCGCGCGTCATCGCGCGCGCATGCCGAAATCGTTTTGTAAACCCTGGATATCGTAAGGCATTGAAACCGTGGCTCTGCAACAAGAATGTGCAAAATAAGTTTGCGATCGCGCTTTTGCGAATTCTCATAAAAAAGAACCATCGGTTGTTCAACATTTTCATAAATTTCTACCAAATGGGCTATCGCGCGCGCGTGTCGAAATCGTTCGAACGCCCTTGCGCGCGTGCTGTCGCAAGAACCCGTTGCAAATCATGTGAAGAAGTGCACAGGCGCGCGTCGTCGCGCGCTCATGCCGAAGTCCATCAAACCCCTTAGGTTTCGTAGGGTTTTCAAAGGCGAGTGTCCCGCAAACATGTAAAACAACACATGATGTCGCCACAACAGCTCTCAAACGAAAAACTGCGCTCGCTCTCTGGTAAATTTTCTAGAAAGCCATAGGTTTTCACATTTGTTTGTCACATTCGGCCAAACGGGCCTTTCGCGCCGCATGTCGACAGCATTCGAACACCCTTGCGCGCGCGCGCTGGGTGGCACTGTCCGCGTCAAATAATACCATGCAGACCACTCTCGCGCGTCGGCCGCGCGCGCAAGTCGAACTCCTTCCAAAACCTGCATCACCGACGCGAGGATGCCGTTATCGTCGTCGGCGTGATCAGCATCGGCGCCGACACTGGCCGTGCCGTCGCCGTTGCCATCATCGCCCCCAGCGTCGCCACGAGCATCATCGTGTTTACCGTTGTCGACGTTGCCGTGCTACCGCGCCCGCCGAAGTCGCCGACTTGCACTGAAGTGCCCGCTGGGCTCTGCCCAGACGTCAGCACCACCGCGGCCGCGTCGGTCGCGCCAAACTAGCTGGCCGCTGCGCTCGCGAGCATGCTCGGGTTAGCGCGGCCGCAAAGATGCACCAGCCAACTCGAAGGACTCATCGCAATCGCCGCCGCATTGCTTTGCAAACCAAGTTTGCGGGTGGGTGGGTGGGATGTTTGCAAGAGCATGGGATGTGTCAAATCAAGGGTAAAAATCAGTTCTCCTTTTTTCAGAAGGAGAATAGACTCTTCCCCCCCCCCGGACTTATCCGTTCCCCTTTCGGGTATGTAAATCATATATGATTCTGACCGCTGGTCCATCCTAAATATGAAATCATATCATCCCAGCCAGGCCGGGTTCCCCCCTCCTGAGGTTCCATTCTTGGCAACAAAAAAACACACTATGCGGTGCCTTTTTTTTGTTCTAACATAACATTTGTTCGAATGATTTGCAAAAAATAGAATGAAGTGCATACGCGCGCGTCGTCGCGCGCGCATGCCGAAATCCTTCAAAAACCTTCGGTGCTGGAAGGATTTCGCAATCGAGTTTCCAAAAAAACATACCAACACACAGGGTTTCGCAACACTGATGTGCTAAAAAAGCTTCCGCGCGAGCTCTTGCGAAATCTCAAGACAACCATAGGTTTTCAAGATGTTCACAAAATGCTACCAAACGGGCTTCGCGCGCGCGTGTCGAAATCTGTCGAACGCCCTTGCGCGTGTGCCGTCGCGAGAATCCTCTGCAAAAAACGGGACGAAGTGCAGACGCGCGCGTCGTCGCGCGCGTATGCCGAAAACCTTCAAAACCCATTGGTTTCGGAAGGATTTCAAAATCGCGCGTCCAAAAAACTTACGAAAATCTAAGGTTTCGCAACACGGATTTTCAACAAAAGCGTGCGCTCTTGCGTCGTCGTCGTCGTCGTCGTCGTCGTCGCCGTCCTCCCTCCTCCCGCGTCGTCGTCGTCGTCGTCGCCTACGTCGTCCTCTGTCTTTTCTCGTGTTCGTCGTCGTCGTCCTCTTTGGCGTCGTGGTCGTTTCCGTCGTCGTTGTCGCCGTGGTCGTCCGTCCTCCTCCTCCCACGTCGTCGTCGTCGTCCGTCGTCGGCGTTTCGTCGTCGGTTTTATTTCGTCACCGTCGTCGTCGTCGTCGTTGTCGTCGTCGTCTTCCCTCCTCCCTCGTCGTTGTCGTCGTCGGCGTCGCCGTCCTTCCTCCTTCGTCGTCGTTCGCGTCGTCGCCGTCCTCCCTCCTCCCTCGTCGTTGTCGTCGTTGTCGTCGTTGTCGCCGTCGTCGTCCTTCCTCCTCCCTCCCTCGTCGTCGCCTTCGTTGGCGTCGTCGTCGTTGTCGTCGGCGGCGTCGGCGTCGTTGTCGTCGTCGAAGTCGTCGGAGACGTCGTCGGTGTCGTCGTCGTCGTTGTCGTCGGTGTCGTCGTAGTCGGTCTTAAGAGGTTTTGCAAACCAAGTTGCGGGTGGGAGGGTGGGATGTTTGCGCGAGCAGTGGAGAGGACAGCTTCAAGTTGAGCAAGTGATCGATTGCAACACATTAGTTGTACCACATAGATTGTATTGTTGCGCCGTAAGCAAAAGTGAGGATCTACCTCTCCCCAAGATTTAGCGGCGCACGCATTCGTAAGGCTTTTGTGTGTGTGATTTTGCCCCATCGTCCATCCTTAAGATGAATTCATACCACCCCAGGCAGTCGGGTGATCGCCCCCTTCCATTTCTTACAACGAACACTATGCGCGGACATTTCTTGTTTATCAAACATCATCAGTGTTCAATCATTTCTTTCAACAAATGAGACGGAGTACCAGCGCGCGCGTCGTCGCGTTCGCGCGTCGAAATCCTTCAAACATTTCCGGTTTCGTAAAGATTTCAAAATCGAGTGCCTCGAAGTCGTAGTAAGACGCACATTGATTCGCAACCGGAATTTCTAAGAAAACGCCGGCGCTCGACCTCGTGCGAATCCTTGAGAAAACCATCGGTTTGTCAAAATTGTCATCAAGCGCTGCCAAGCGTGCCTCTCGTGCGCGCATGGTGGAGTCACTCGAACGCCCGCGCGCGTTGTCGCAATGACCCCCGACAGAAACGGGACGGAGCGCACGCGGGCGCGTCGTCGCGCACGCATGCCAGAATCTTTCGAAAACCGCGGGTTTCGCGCCATGTTCGACGTAGAGTGCCCCAGCCACAATTTAGAAAATTATCCTGGCGAAGGACCCAACCATATGCAATCGTGAATACTGCAATTGTGAATATCTTCTCGGTGGAGCCCCCTACGGGGCCACGAAACGTACGAGGGGTGTGCCGAAATGGGTGTGCGGGACGCATGCGGGCACACCCACTAGGGCCTTCGGTGGAGCTCCCTATGCGGCCACGAAACGTGTGAGGGAGTTGACGAAATGGGTGTGGCTGACGCATGCGGGCGCGGGCACTGGGGCCTTCGGTGGAGCTCCCCATGGGACCACGAAACGTTTGAGGGGTGTGCCGAAATGGGTGTGGTTGACGCATGCGGGCGCGGGCACTGGGGCCGAAGGGTGTGCCGAAATGGGTATGCGGGACGCATGCAGGCACACCCACTGGGACCTTCGGCGGAGCTCCCCATGGGGCCACGGAACGCGTGAGGGGCGTGCCGAAATGGGTGTGGCTGACGCATGCGGGCGCGGGCACTGGGGCCTTCGGCGGAGCTCCCTATGGGGCCACGAAACGTGTGAGGGGTGTGCCGAAATGGGTGTGGCTGACGCATGCGGGCGCGGGCACTGGGGCCTTCGGTGGAGCTCCCTATGGAGCCACGAAGCGTGTGAGGGGTGCGACGACGCATGCGGGCGCGGGCACTGGGCCTTCGGTGGAGCTCCCTATGGAGCCACGAAGCGTGTGAGGGATGTGCCGAAATGGGTGTGGCTGACGCATGCGGGCGCGGGCACTGGGCCTTCGGTGGAGCTCCCTATGGAGCCACGAAACGTGTGAGGGGTGTGCCGAAATGGGTGTGGCTGACGCATGGGCGGGGCACTGGGGCCTTCGGTGGAGCTCCCTATGGAGCCACGAAACGTGTGAGGGGTGTGCCGAAATGGGTGTGTGGGTGACGCATGCGGGCGCGGGCACTGGGGCCTTCGGCGGAGCTCCCTATGGAGCCACGAAACGTGTGAGGGGTGTGCCGAAATGGGTGTGGGTGACGCATGCGGGCGCGGGCACTGGGGCCTTCGGTGGAGCTCCCTATGGAGCCACGAAACGTGTGAGGGGTGTGCCGAAATGGGTGTGGGTGACGCATGCGGGCGCGGGCACTGGGGCCTTCGGTGGAG